TGTGGTGACAGCTATTAGAAAATGGCCAAGAAATAGCCACTATAACAGACAAGCATAGAGATGCAGCCAGTCACATGGGACTGTATCCCTCCACCAACCATTGAGGCCCTGCTCAATTATGTTACAATTCAAATCCAAACTTCTCTTCCAATATAAGAATTCCCAGTTAAAACAATATGACGAAGGGACAGAACTAATCTATTTCAATACAATAGGACCGGTAGCTTTTTGTCAACTTGTACATAGAGGATTTTAAAAGTTCCTTGATTTTGGTCTTACTTGAAAAAAAATGGCCTTAACTTCTTGTCCTGCCAGAGTGGCCAGCAACACAGCCATATTCCAGGTGCAGGTGATGCCATCTACTCTGGCACTGTCAGTGTTAAAGGCCTGTAGTGGTTGGGGGAAATCAGATATGTTTTGTGCTGTTTCTGAGTTAAAGCTGCAGTACTGCTGGGGAGGTGGGGCAGTTTGGTCTTGTTTGTCTTGAGCTTGATGTTTTGGAGAAAGATGCCCGCTCTCCTGCAGTGCCCACTGCTCTTATGATACCTGTACACTTTATTAAACTGACAGCTTCCATGAGTGAAGTGAGAATCAATTCTGTTCCATCTTTGTCTTATTGGTTGACATATTTTTGTATTTTCTTGTTGATTTGAATTCTGTTACTATATATGTATGTTACATTTTTTGGCTGTGCACACATGGTTCCATTTTTTTCTTGACAGATTATAGAAAAATGATGATGTAAAGCAGAATAAGAAAGCATAGGGGACTGTTTAAATATGAGAGAAATTGCAGCAAAAAATGTTTTTCCTTCCATTCATTGAAGGACACAGCCGATATCTTAATTTAACAAAGTTATAGCGCCACCTGCAGGAGTAGGACCCTAGGCAGGAAACAATAAAGCACAGCCCAGGGGGTGACCCCTGGTGCTGGCTCAACCACCTACTCACTAGAGGCAGCTCATTTTTTTGACTAGCATCAGGGAGTATAGACCTAGCTCCCTCTTGGGATCTTAGTTCATTTTTTTTTGTTTTGTTCCCATTCTTCAGCATGACCTTCAATCAACTGCCGAGCTGGGTGACAGACTGGATGTTATATTTACTTGTAGTCTCCCCAGCTTGGCCTATGGGCACATGCAGAACTTTGCAGGGATGCTGATTCCGCTGCAACAGCCTCTTCCTCGATCTGGGGCAGCCTGTGAGAGATCTCACGGGGGGACACATATGACCAAGCGGCCGGCGTCTGTTTTGTCACAGTGACCCCCTAGGCTTTCAGCACCCTCACTTCAGTGGGAGGTGGTCTGTGTTGAGGATTGGCACCCTGGAGTCGGCCTAGAGAGAGAAGAGTAAGTGGGTCTCTCTCTTGCTCCTTATGGGTTATTGGAGTAGATTGGGTGTCTTTGCTTCTCTAGATACAGGGGTGGCCATGTGTTGGGCTGCAGCTGCTCTGCTGTCACCACCCCCCTGGCTCTCACCCCGTTGAACTCTACCACCCCTATTCTCTTTGAACAGCCTTTAGGGCCCCTTTGAGCCTCCTCTACACCTCTGGCTCTAGGGAACCTCTGGCAGTGTATGTGATTTTTTTTTTCCTTTTCTGGATCTCAGACCACCTGCGCTGGGGGCTGGCACTTCTCTGGGCACTGACATCATCAAGGCTTTCTCCCATGCTCCTCAGACCACAAGGCAGGAGTGGGATGCACGGAAGGCTGCTACAGGCTCTGCATTTTACCTGGTAGTGGAAAGCTGCTTGGGGGTTCATCTTTCTGGTGGGTGACTTGTTCTAATTTGGCAGGATACACAAACATGTCTGCCCGGTGTGTGGGGGGATTCTGTCGCAGGGTACTTCTTTTCTGAAGAAGTGGACGTCTCCCTCGGTGGTGGACCCCCTGTGTCCCGTCTAAATAAGGTGGCGGTGATCCCAGTTGAGGAATCTCCTACTTTCAAGGATCCGACAGATTGAAATATGGAGGCCGTTGCGCGCTCTATGTTTTGGCAATGTCCTTGGTGTCTCAGACTCTCACTAGTTCTTGTGCCAGGGTCTGGAAGGTAAACAGGTGTCTCCTGCATTTGTGGAACTGATTGATCAACTTATTCATGGCCTTTAATATGTCTGCAACGCTTTGCTGGATACGGGACCCTCGATATCAGAGATATCGGCGGTGGTTCTTCACCTTTTTCTGTGGCTAAGTGATGGTCTGCTGATCATACTTCTGAGAAGGCGTCAACGGACCTGCCTTTTAACGTCGACTATTTGTTTGGAGCAACTCTGGATGATATTATCAAGAGTGCCTTCTTACCGCAGCGATGTAAGCAAGGCCATTTTCTGCCTACAAGCACCTTTTTCACACCCAAGGTGCACCTGACACAGGTCAGAAGTCGGGCAAACCTTCTTTCTCTGGTGGTCCAAAGAGATACTGGCCATCCAAGCCCGCCAAGAAGTCTTTCTCTACGGGAAGGTTGACCCCTACCTGCTCTGGTCAAGGTGGGGGGGCGTCTTCGTTGGTTTGCGGACCCTTGGCCAGCTCACATTCTCCAACTAATTGTTTCGGGTTACAAAATAGAATCCCCCCCCGGTTCTTCCCTTCCAATCTTCAGTTATCCCCAACGTGTCCATGCCAGAATTTGTCCGGCACATCAGGTCGTTCAGACCTGGATGCCAATCTGGATGTTACCATGTGCAGGAGTCCGCCTGGGTTTTGAACATTCAGAAACCAGTCCTGGTGCCGTCCCTTCGTCTGGAGTACCCGGGTCTAATCCTGGACACGTGTTTGCCTCCAGAAAAACTTCAGAGGGCCAAGAACAAGTTTGTCTGTTTTCGTGCAGTCGCACCTGCATTGCACTGGGTCTGGTGGTCTCTTTAAGGCTGTTCTGTATGCGCAACGCCACACTCGGATTTTGCAGCAGGAGATCCTTGCCAAGTGAGACAAGTCCCTTTCTGTCACTGGACCTTCAGATGTGTGTGAGTCGGTCCCTTCCCTGATGAGGTGGGACGGTGAGACTTCCCTGGTGTGGTGGCTCCAGTCCCCGATGCTGTCGAGTGGGAGGTTGTTCCTTCTTGTGCATTGGAAGCAGGTGAAGACGGACACATCCCTTAAGGGTTTGGGGTGGTGTGACAGGGCAGTGCAAGGCTGTTGGACAAGGGGGAGTCAGGGTTGCCGATCAATGTCCTGGAGCTTTGGGCAATCAAACTCTGTCTTCTTCATTGGATGGATCTTCTGCATGGGCATCTCTTCAGAATTCAGCCGCACAATGCCACGGCCGTTGCACAAAAAGTTGGGCCGCTGCGATGGAGGTGCCTCATCCTGTGCTGGGCTCTTTCTGCAGTCTACATTCCAGGAGTAGACAATTGGAAGGCAGACTATCTGAGTCGTCAGGGTCTAGATCAAGGAGAATGGGCCCTTCACCCGGCGGTGTTTCAGCAGATCTGTCAAAGGTAGGGGACTCCAGATGTGGATATTCGGGCCCCCTGTCTGTATCGAAAGGTAGATCGATTCGTGTCCAGGGCTTTGGAGCCTTGGGCGGTCGCAACAGACTCTAGTGGCGCCATGGGACAGGTACGGCCTCATTTATGTGTGTCCTCCCCTTAAACTTCTCCCAAGGCTACTACAGCATGTGGAAGTCAAAGGGATTCCGGTTCTTCTGGTGGCTTCAGATTTACCTCGCCGTCCCTTGTACACGGACCTGGTGTGCCTGGTTGCAGACGCCCCTTGGCGGCTCCCTCTTTGGTCGGCTGTTCTGTCGCAAGGCCCAATTTTCCAACCTTTACCATCTCTGGCTTTAACGGCTTGGCTATTGAAAGCCAGGTGTTGAGGGATAGGGGGCTGTCAGACTTAGTGACTCCAACTATGCTTAAGGCCCATGAGTCTACCTCTTGGAAAATATATCATCGCACTTGGAAGGCTTACGTTTCTTGATGCAAGTCACTTCAGGTGTCGCAGAATTTTTTTTTCAGTGGCTAGGGTCTTAGCCTTCCTTCAAAGGGCAGTGGATACGGGTCTGGCCCCTAGTACTGTCAAAGGTCATGTTTTTCTGCATTGGTCTTCTTTCAGCGCCAATTGGCCTCATATTCCCTGCTTCGTACTCTCATCCAGGGAGTGTCCCGCGTTTCGCTTCCGGGTTAGATCTCTTTGGTCTCCGTTAGATTTGAATGTGGTGCTTTTGCTTTACAAAAGCCTCCGTTTTTAAAATATTCAAAAGCTTTACGACTTAGGCCTTTGTTGACCTTGTCTCAGAAGATGGCCTTCTTGGTGGCCATCAACTCGGCCCGGAGGGCTTCGGCATTGGCTGCCCTGTAAATCCCCGTTTTTGGCATTGCATTGGGACAAAGTAGTTCTACCGCGACCCTCCTTTTTTGTCTAAGGTGGTGTCTGCGTTTCACCTCCAATGAGGATATCGCCCTTCCTTCCCTTTTTCTTATCCCTGAAGGTCCTAGGAAAGGGGAGGCGGATCTGCGGACACCATTACACGATGGATTAGGCAGGTAATTGTGCAGGTCTACCCCCTTAGGGGGTCCGTCTCTGCCTTTTCCGGTTATGGCCCATTCTTCTTCTTTTTTTTTTTTTTTTTTTTTAACCAGATAATTTTTTTTTGATTTTTCTTATATTTCCTCACAGTGTGCACGTGTATCATAATAACTAGGGATGTCCCGATACCACTTTTTCAGGACCAAGTACTTGCCAATACCAATTACCAATACTTCCATGTTAGCAGGGGAGAATTGTAAATCTATTGCTGGAGTGAAGTGGAGGTGTGTGCTGTATATATGTACTACATATACATTACACACGTCCAGTACGCTATAGCAATAGATTTACAGCCAGCCCCATCCCAGCTTCCCTCACTCAGTTTCACTCCAATCACTGTTGCCTCACGAGGTGCCTCTTGTAGCTTGTGGGAGGCGCTCGCAATTCTGCCCTGCTAACATGAATAGGTTAAATCATGATCCATTGTACATATACAGCACATATGTCCAGTACACTGCAGTAATGGAGTTACAATTATCCCCTGCTAACATGAATAGGTTAAATCATGGTCCATAGTACATAACATAGTTGTACTATGGATCATTTAACCCATTCATGTTAGCAGGGGATCATTGTAAATCTATTGCTGCAGTGAATTGGGAATATGTACATGTACTATTCTGTACATGTGCATTCTACTACTGTAGATTTACAATTCTGCACTGCTAACATGAATGGGTTAAATGATCCATAGTACAACTACATGTTATGTACTATTATGTACTACGGATCATTTAATCTATTCATGTTAGCATTGTATAATTGTAAATCTATTGTTGCAGTGCAATCTATATGTAGTACATGTACATATAGAGTGCACTGCAACAATAGATTTACAATTATCCTCTGCTAACATGAATGGGTTAAATGATCCATAGTACAGGGCTACATATGGATCATTTAATCCATTCATGTTAGCAGAGGAGAATTGTAAATCTGTGGTCTCCAGTGTATTAGCAGTCTGTACTCCTATATGTACTACATATAGAGTACAGACTGCTAATACACTGGAGACCATCGATTTACATATATCCCCTGCTTAATAGTTCCACCCCTTGCCCTCACTGTGCGGGAGAGCAGCGACGCCGACAAGTCAGCGCTGGTCTGGTGGGAGGAGCTCCAGATGGGGTCCTAATTTAGCTGGCCCAGAGGTGTCTGCCAGCTAAATTAAGATCTCACCTGGAGCTCCTCCCACCGGACCAGCGCTGACTCACCGCTGCTCTCCGGCACTGGAGGACGGTGCTGAGCTGAAGAGGAGCGTCGCGTCACTGCTGCTCCGGTTGGCGGCGCTCCGAGTGGGGTCCTCTGGGCAGTCACCGGCCACCTAAATTAGGACCCCCCCCCCCGGAGCAGCAGTGACGCGACGCTCGGCGAGGTAAGAAAAAAAAACAGCGCAAGCTTCGGCGCTATGTATCGGGGCATTTTGACAAGTACAAGTACTTGTCAAAATGCCCTGTATCGGTCCCGATACCGATGCTAGTACCGGTATCGGGACATCCCTAATAATAACTGACTCCAATAATAAAAAACAAAAATACAGCTTAAATATACATTCCCACCACCCCTATCTGCCAGTTCGTTCTTAGTCTACTTCCTTAGTTCTTCCCGCTCTTCATATCTACTGCCACATTATCCAGGAGGTCTCAATTCTGATTACCAGTCAAGGTTCTAATGCACCTATTCCAGATCCCCTGAAACTTACCTAGCTGATTCCTCATCCCGTAAATATGTTCTTTAAACTGAACATACTTACTGATTTCAGCTTTCCATTCTTCAACTGTAGGGGGGGTGCTCCGAGGTCAATTTAACTGCTATTAATCTTCTAGCCAGAAACGGTAGCCTAGTTATTGCTAAGGCAGTGTTATTATCTAAGTTATCAGAACTGAAACCTTTAAATTCTGTGTCAAGCGATACTCTGTGATTCTGTGTCTTGTGTCAAGTGATACTAAAACCCGGTTACCCCTGTCCTACGTAGGCATTTGAATGTTAAGGAAGGCCCTCCTAATATTAATGTCAGTGGATAAATTAGGGATAAATCCTGTCTGATTTGGAGTGTATTATTTTTGTTATTACGCTTCTAAGTCTGTTGGCCAGAACCTTTGCCAGTATTTTTACATCTACTGATAACAGTGAGATTGGCCAATAAGATTCCATTTGTAAGGGGTACTTGTCTTTTTTTTGGTATTAATATTATTTTTTCCTCATACATTCATGGGGGGTGTCCAGGTCTAAATGAGTTATTGAATGTGTCTACAAGTTCTGGTATTAGTACATCCCGGTATTGTTTTAAAAAACTCCACCGGAAGTCTATCTGGGCCAGGTGCTTTGCCCTTTTGGAGTGAAACTAATGCTTCCTCTAGCTCTTCTATTCTAAGCGGGCCGTCTAAAAGCAGCTTATCCTCCAGTGTAATTGCAGGCAGCCCCACTTTTCCCAGATAATGTTGCAATTCCGCACAGAAGTATTGAGCTCTTGTTGCGTATAGGTCCTGAAAAAACTCCCTAAATGCACTTAAAATATCTTGCGTTCCTGTGCACTTTCAGCGTACACCATCATAGATAGCCCCTATATACCGACTAGGCGCCTGAGAGTTGGCAATGTGAGCCAGCAATCGGCCAAGCCCTTCGCCTTCCGCCCATACCTTTCTCTTCCTAAACAACATTTTATGCTGAGCTTTCTTTTCCTGTAATAGTTGCAGCTGCTTCTACTTTTGCAGCCATATTGCTTTATTCCCCATCGTAGCAACTACAATATATTCCTTAGCTCTACCTCTTGTACCTGCCCCTTAACATGCTCTGCTTCCCTTCTAGAGTTAGACTTAACTTTGCTAATTTCTTTGATTAACACCCCTCTCACATATGCTTTCATAGTGTCCCATACTTTCCCCCAAGAAGTTGTACCTTTATTAAAATGGGAAAAAAACTCAAAAGCCTCCTTATGGATATGGCCCATTCAACAAGGTCTGTTAGCACGTCTTGGACTTTTCGTCATCAAGCTTTTGTTGTGCAGGTTTGTAAGGTGGCCACCTGGTCATCGGTGCACACCTTTATCCATTTTTATAAGGTGGATGTAGTTGCTTCTACAGGTGAAGTTTTTAGTCACAAAGTTTTGCAGGCAGCTGTTTAGTTGGTTGGGTGCGCTTGTTCTTGTTGGTTTCTTACCCCTCAGTTCTCGCTGCTTTGGGACGTCCCTTCTGTTAAATGAAGATGTATCAGCTATGTCCTTCAATGAACGGAAGAGAATATAGGATTCTTTGTATTAACCGTAAACGCCTCTTCTCTGCGTTTATTGAAGGACACAGCTCTCTCCCCTCTTAGTTGTCTGTGCCTTTTTTCTACTGCTTTGTATGTATCTGAGCTGCTTCTAGTGAGTAGGGGGCAGGGGCCACCCCCAGGGCTGTGGTTTGTTGTTTGCTGCCTAGCGTCCTGCTCCTGCAGGTGGCGGTATAACCCTTCCATTAAATGAAGATATCGGCTG